CTCCTTGACAAGGGGTTCAGAGTACCTATGTAGCTGGTTAATTTCTTGGTCACCTCAAGTGGGTGGCTTGTCCACTCCTAAATAAGTCAGAAGAGATAATACAACAGGATTCGAACCAAAAAAAGACCGCTTTCACAAAAGGTTTAGAATGTAATCCTCTTATAGGATTACTATATATGTCAACCTCTTATCGTGAATGAGACTCCTTATATTTTGAGAGTCTCACTTTTACAGAGATTGACATATACTGCAATTTTCATACCTAAATGACTTAGGTTTTTATTTCTATTACATTAAAAGGAATCGAATCGTTAGCTTATTTGTATCATAACTAATTACTTCACCGTCTGTCTCGACTTGAATTAAATTCCAAGGGCGAATTTGGCAGATTGTGAGATGCGGTTTCTAGTCCTTGAATTCATAAAATACATAGGCATATAATTGGGTAGAGTATATATTTTGGAGGGTTCTAAATTCTAATTCAATAAATTAATGTAATAAACAAAAGAAGGCGGCCCTAAGCTTATCATTTGGAAATGACCCTCAAAGGCTATAAGGCATCGTTTTCAAATCCCAGTCACATGCTTGCTCTCATGGCCAAATACCCCCTCCTTTATTTAAACCCCTCCATCCCTCTCTCCCTCTCACACATCATTTCAAACATCTTCCATTTACTTCTCTCTCTATCTCCAACTCCTCTTTGTCCAATCTTTTGATCCACTTAGTTCAGAACAATTCATCCCACCACCACTCTCTTCATAAACCAAAACAGCACCATCTCCATTTTTTCGCACTGCTTTTGTTTATTGGGCAACCAATATTTTCCATAACCTATCTCTCTCACCACCTATTGTCTTTCCAAAAGACAAACATACTTCTTCATCATGATGTATAATGGTACCTGTCATAACAACATACCCCAAATGGTTCCTCACTCATTTGACCAAGATGACCTTTTTGCTAGGAGATGCATTTGGGTGAATGGACCTGTTATAGTTGGGGCAGGTCCTTCAGGCCTAGCCGTTGGTGCTGGCCTTAAAGAACAGGGTGTCCCTTTCATTATCCTAGAAAGAGCCAATTGCATTGCTTCTCTTTGGCAAAAACGCACATATGATCGGCTCAAGCTTCACCTCCCCAAGCAATTCTGCCAATTACCCAATTTCCCATTCCCAGAGGACTTCCCAGAATACCCCACTAAAAACCAGTTCATCAACTACCTAGAGTCCTATGCTCAACATTTTGACATCAGCCCCCAGTTCAATGAGACAGTCCAGTCTGCCAAGTATGATGAGACCTTTGGTCTGTGGAGGGTCAAGACCATTGTTTCAACAAGCAATTCAAACCCTGCTGCTGCTGAGGTTGAGTACATTTGCCGGTGGCTCGTGGTGGCCACTGGAGAGAATGCAGAGAAAGTAGTGCCAGAATTCGAAGGCTTGGAAGAGTTTGGTGGCAATGTCATGCATGCTTGTGACTACAAATCCGGCGTGGCTTACCGTGGTAAGCAAGTACTAGTTGTTGGCTGTGGAAATTCAGGCATGGAAGTCTCTCTTGATCTTTGCAATCACAATGCAAGCCCTTCAATGGTGGTTCGGAGTTCGGTAAGTAAAGAAATTTCACAAATTCTGTCCTGAATTCAAATCTCATGGACGACAGTTTTTGAATAAAAGTATCATGTTATCTATTAGTAGAAATTCAAAGTTCAAACTTGGACTTAAATCTGTTTTTCTTTTCTGTTTTTGGTCGCACAGGTTCATGTCTTGCCAAGGGAAATTTGTGGAAAGTCAACATTTGGATTAGCAGTTCTGTTGATGAAATGGCTACCACTTTGGCTTGCTGATAAGATATTGCTGATACTGGCATGGCTAATATTTGGAAATCTTGAAAAATATGGTCTGAGAAGACCATCCTTAGGGCCTTTGGAACTCAAGAACATTTCAGGGAAGACCCCTGTATTGGATATTGGTGCCTTACAGAAAATAAGATCTGGTGAGATCAAGGTGGTCCCTGGAATCAAGAGGTTTTCTCATGGTAGAGTTGAACTTGTTGATGGACAAAATCTTGAGACTGATTCTGTCATTTTGGCAACTGGGTATCGCAGCAATGTTCCTTCATGGCTCAAGGTCAGAATTAAATTTTATTACAATATTTCCATCTCAATGGGTTTGGTTTGGAAGCTTCTATTTTTCAATCCATGTGACCGTTATGGCAGGTTTTTTTTTCTTCCTCTGTTTCTCTCCCTCTCCCTCTGTTTTGATGTCTTGGCTGTCAGATTTTTTTTGAAATGATTTTGTCTTTTTCATTACCAAGATCTGGTAGAAGATAATTATTTATTTAAAATGAGGATTCAAGTCCAAAATTATATTATTGGAGAAGTTTTCTTATCCACTTTACCTGAAAATTTCTTTTCCATACAAGTTGATTTTGTATTTATGTCTTACTGTTTTGGTATTTATTACCATGTTTCTTTAAATGGAAAAGTTAAGGTTTAGATAAGTCTCCTCAGTATTTCTAAAGTTGGATGGTCTTGAAACTAAAATTTTCCTGGAATGTTGTGCAGGAAAATGAATTCTTTTCAAGAGAAGGAATTCCCAAGAATTCATTCCCAAATGGGTGGAAAGGGAAAGGTGGGCTTTATGCAGTTGGGTTCACAAGGAGAGGACTATCTGGAGCCTCACTAGATGCCATGGGAGTCTCACAGGACATTGCCAAGTGCTGGAAAGAAGAGACCAAGCAGAAGAGGAAATCTGTTGCAGCTAGACATCGCAGATGCATTTCACATTTCTAAAATTTCAGAGTCACCAAATTATTTTTTAGTTTTATTCTTTTTTTTTTATGTGTATAATTTGGTGACTGATCCACCAAAACTGGGATCAGTTTTGTGTAGAAAATAATGTAGAATACAGAAAGGTAGCCCTCTCCTATAGAAAATCCAACACATCAAAAATATTTGGACATAAATTTGTCAAAGGAAGATGAGGCTTATTCTTTATTTCCTATGGAATCTTGTATTCAAATTTATTAATAATAATCCAATTCCCAGTCAAATGAATGAGATTCTCTCTCTCTCTCTCTCTCTCTATATATATATATATAATATATATATACACACACATTACACACAAGTTTTTTTTTCGTTTTTGGTTTTTTGGCTATTACATTGCAGAACGTTGAAGTTGGCCCACTAGTCATAACTATAATTGATGGGCTCTCCTCTCTCAACCCAAGCTGGCCCACCAAGGGCCCAATAAATGATGTGGGCCCCTGGTCCACCACTTTCCAACATCACAAATCTCTTCAAAAAGATTCTGACTCTGACTGAACTTTTCAGAAAGAAATAGGTCTCCTCCCCATGTTGCCTTGCACATGGATAGAACCTAGAAGGATATACAATTCTTGGGGTTGTCAACATTGGCATGAAACTTCAAATACTTGTTTGGTGCACAAATCAAACACAATTTTCACAGCTAGAATTATTGCATCAGAAGTTTAAAACAGCATGATCATATAACAATGTTTTACCAGGTATAACCAAATATAAAAATGAAAAACTGTATTTATAGGACAGTTTAATGTATAAGCCAACTATACTTCCAAAGCTTTTTTGAAGAAGTGCTTTCTAAATACTCCTTCAATCCTCACAATCCTCTCCGAGGTCAAAATTCAAGAGTCGTTCTATGGGTGATGGTGCGTACTATAGATGTGGACCTTCGTATTAGTAACTTCACTTAAGTTTAATGAAATAATTCTATAACTAATATGAAAGTCCACATGAGGGATCCATATATAGCGCCCTAACTAAAGAATCTCGCCAAAACTCAAAACATAAACCAACCTCTATTTCCCCTTGAAAAAAAAGTCCAACTGCCAAAACCCATTGGATAGTATGCAAATGTAGTTTGGGGTTAGCAGCCCTTCCTAAATCATTGAAAAGAATTTGGGTAAACCCCTTTACACTTCTATCCAACTAATATCAGGCTAAAGTTTCCTTTTGCTCCTCTGATTAGCATGATATGCTTCTTTTAATACCAAAATTACTTTTTTCACATGATGTGTGTGTGTGTGTGTGTTTTTTGTCAATACAGAATGATGTGTTGTAAGTAGGAAAAGACAACCCATATGAGTCCCCATGCTGTTTTTTCACCACCACAAACTCAAATATTGTAAAGAAAGAAAACCAATTCAATTCTTCAAGAGCGTGCTGTTTGTGGCTCTCTTTCCAAGCATAAAGAAGCAAAGCTTGTCTACTTAAAGTTGCGGCATTTTGAGCCTACAAAATGAATTCCACAACTGCACTTTTGTCAATTCTCGCTGGCATTTCTAAGGTTCTCATTAGCCCACCCTGCTATCCACAATGAAAACCACATGGGGAGGCTACCACCCATATCCTTCCCTACTTCCACCACCTGAGATACTTTTTTAAAAGAAAGAAAAAAAAGCCCATTCCTTCATGTTTTCATGCAGATACATTCCTCTCACTGTCTTACTGCTTTTGGACCATAACCTCGTACTTAATTAGGTCTCTGCATTCAATTATGCATGGCAACCATGTATGTGTTGAAGGTTCAGTATGAGAACTCTAAATGAATTCATTCCTCTACGGTCGGTTTGACTGATCTTTGACTACCATACATTAGGTTTGTACAAAAGATTAAGGCCCAGTCATTTTTGTGCACACCTTCCCATTTGAAACCCAATTTTCATTGCTTGTTTTTGCTTAAAATGAGCTTTGAGGTTTAGAAATAAATAAATGAGTATATAACGACGTGAAAAATAACAAGTCTAATAATTCCCTATCCAAAACCCTAAACCTCCAAGACAGACTGTACATTAAACTGTTTGTTCTTCCAAAATTTAGTCTCAGCCAAAGTTTTGACGTTACAGAAATGGTATTACAATTTACAATTCAATTTTTCTTGACTTCATTATTTTATCTTATCTTGACTTTCTCCTTAGTTGAGCAGAAGCTTTCCATCATCAATTTGACTTCAACAGTAGAATTCTTGGCTTGGAATCAATTACCTATGATCATAGCAAACATATATGTCAACCTGAGAAGACCTAGGAATTGATCGATACGTAATTGGTTCTATATATATTTACAGAAAAGATTAAGGACAACTTCGGTTTACATTGAAGTGCCCTCTTTATGATCTGCATTTCACCAGCTAATGCAGTCACTTGTTGGAAAGAATCCGATTGATTTCACCATTCTTATTGTAGGTATCCACAATCTTCTTTGCATATGAAGGCATATGCTGATCGGCTCTGCATGGTTCAGCTCCACTATCAGGTAACACATTGAAAGTTGCGCCTTTGTTTTCCCCATATTCGGTTTACATACGGGTAGTTCCTGATGGTAAGGTAATCGAGTGAATAACAAGCAAACCCTTTGGGCCAATCTGTTCAACAAGAACCAAGTCATAAAATAAAAGTTTGCATATAATTTTATAATTCTTAAATGCATCACTCAGAGTCCTTACCAAGTTTAGCAAGAAAGCAATCACATTCCCAACAAACTTTGGGGCAGGTTCAGGACCCTTTCCTGAGAAACAAGATTGTAAAAACAATGGTAAGCAGCATATATTTTGCGAGTCCTCCAGAAATTCAGATGAGCTATAGCCCACATTACAAACCAAATGATTTTCAAGAAAAATGAAGCATATTTTCTTCTGAAGATACAGTCTAATACAGCGAAATGATAAACATTTCTATTCTTGATCCCATCAAGGGGAGGTCCTATTCCCTGAATACACCAATAAAAAGTATCACAAAGAAGGTACAGCATGTACCCAACTTAGCATTATCATATGCCTTAACAGTCTCCATGACAAATGGTTAGCCATGCTTAGAATACTTCGTACAAAGGAAACCATGTCCTATAAACATTAAATTTCAAATTGCAAAAATACAGAGAAAGAGAAATAGGATAGGATCAAGGGTTTTACACTGCTAGTTGTTGAAGTAACCTCCAAAAGATTATCAACCAGACTGAGCATCTCTCTTCCACGTTCATTTCTACCATTTGAAGGCAAGAAAAAAATAGAAATCTTTATTTATTTCTTTCCTTTACCACCAAAGTGGAATAAAATATTGCAATAGCACAATGATAAACAATAAGCACAACGAAAAGCTGCACACAGAGTCTGAGCAACAATATTACCTTACCGTAACATACTGTGGATGTTGAGTCATGCTGATTCCAGAATATTTTGGCACACCCATGTATCCTACAACTAAATCCTGAAATAGGTGAGTGAGAGACATGTGAGAACCTTTATACGACTAACACTAAGTTATGCTTGTTTCAGTAGATAATAAAAGCTTTGAATAATATGTCAGACCAAGGTGATGGTGACAAAATGTAACCATGATTCTTGTAATAGACTTGTAACTTTAATTAATTTTCACAAATGTTATATGCATAGAGAGAGAGAGAGAGAGAGAAGGAGACTAGCAGTTGATTCCAAACAATTGGAAATTCCTTGTTTTTGTTGAATTGCATTTTTCACATCTAAATGAGCTTCCAAGTTTTAATTTGATCATCAAACATAGTCCAGTTTCATGTACAAATACCCAGTTTCAAAGACTTTCATCTATCCTTGACATAAAAGTTTTCCTGAATTCCATAATAAGTTATCCTTCAAAAACTCACGAAAGAGGAAATCGTTGACAATAAACCAATTGCTGAATTGAGACAGTACAAAGTCTAATAACTCTCCCTCTTCCCTCTCCCTGGCCAAAAAAAAAAAAAAAAACTAAACAAAATACGAAGGCAATAAACTTAAGAAGAAATTTAGTATAAAAATACATGTTTATTTCTAGAGGTTAGTAAAAAATGAACTATTTTCAGCAGAAAGTGTTACTTACGCACTGTCTAACCAAAAAATGCATGGGAACAATGAGATGTGATCAAAACTACACAAACTCCGAAAATAAGAAAATAGCATTCCCGTATCCTTGTAAAGATGAAACCTCACCGCTAAACCATTTGTATAGTCAAAACAACTGCAAGACAATAAAAATGGGACAGGTAAGGAAAATATATGACAGATATAAACTATAGTATTTGATATATGTGGCATTTCTGTTTGTGAAATACGTCATCTAATTGTAATTTACTTGTTGAATCGATCTGAGGGAATTCACAAATGAAAAGTTAATAAATTTGTAGCAGTACAGGTGGTGATGACAATGATACTGCTGCGTTTCCAATATCAAGCATAGTCCCTGAATCTTATTGAATATAGCTTCGGGGACATCTGGTACAATTAGAATGAGAAGAGAAGATTACCATGTATTTAACGACTCTCTCCTAAAGCCGCAAAAGCATCTATAAAGTTCAAAGCATTTGCACACAATCCTTTTGATAGTGTCAATGTGTGTTGATTGTGTGTGTGTGTGTGTGTGAGAGAGAGAGAGAGAGAGAGAGAGAGCAATTGTTTATCTTGGATTTTCTTTCAATACCATGATAAGTGTACATCCACTGCAATCTTATCCTCAAGGTTGCTAGTCCTATTTAGTTCCTGATGTTCTTTCTTAATATCTAAAGGTATGTCTACAGCAATTTCAGAAATGAATTTTCCTTGACCAAAACTGTCAATCATACCTTCTAGTTGTTGAATCTAATTCACAAAAAAAATATTCAAAAACTACTAAGTATTACAAAGAAAAGGACAAACATTACCTATAACAAGAAGGAGCAATACATCAACCAACTCATTTGCTGGCAGAGAGAAATACGGAACCTGCTTTGGTTAAAATATGAAATGAGATGAGGTAGCATGAATGGGAGAATAAATACCAAACTGAACATACAAGGACCACTTTTACCTCTTCAATATGACCATCCAAATGCTTCAAGTGAACCTATCAAGAGGACAGGAATAAAATTTAAGAAACAATATAGCCAACTAGCCTGTTAAGAAATGCTCACACCAGGAATAGTTGGCATATAACAAAAGATAAAACAATTAGTGTCCATTTTACTATCATAAGCACATAATCTAAAACAGATATAAGCCTGCCAGACCGCACCACTAAATTATTATAAAAATAAGATAAAAGTATCCATGAAATCTTTCAGAAAAATTGTGAAAAGCCCAATCCCAAAGCACTCATCTGAGGTTGATCCCCTTTTTCGAAACAAGAATATTGCTAGAAGTGTTAAAGGGTGTGCAATGGCACACATGACCACCTTGAAACATTGCTCAGACCTTGGGCTCTTCTAATAATTGAAATAAGTACCTTTTATGATAACGCATCTAAATCCTGTACTATATAGAGACCAAATACTCAATCGCCACAAAATGTACAAAAAGAAGTGCAAACCTTGTAATTTTGCATAAACTCATAATGAAGAACTGTCTCTGGTTCACTACTTGCAGCCTTTAAAAACTTATCAAGCCCTCCTTGAGTCCCATTGTCCACTGTCAAACAAGAGCATCAGTACTGAAACAAATTATATTACTTGTTACTGATGTCATTTACTAGAACAAGGGCATTATATAGTTGTTGACTACATACATATTTAATAAATAATGATGCTGCGGTTGATGATATGATGATTATGATTATAGAGATAGTAGGATACAGTTTATTATAGTAGTTCATCTATGCCATGTTTAACATGATATCATGGAAATTATATATATATTCTTTCCTCTGGGGCCCTTAGTAATAGACATAAGTAAACTTGATGGCTAGACTACTTATCGAAATCGAGAAACATAAAAAATAAAAATAAAAATAATGCATAAGGCTAACCGCAATTTGTGCCTAACACATAAAGCTTGTCCAAATTTAAATGGTGCTCCACAGATCGTAATGCTGCAGTTTAAGAAATTACTCTGCATTACAATAGTACAAGTCACAACAGAGAAGGATTGAAAGTAGAACTTGCAAGATTATATTATAAATGCTACCTTGCACCTTGCAACCCACACCACAGAATAGAAGTTTCTTTACACCTGCAGCCTATTTTACAGGAAAGGCACACTTGTGTCACTAAAACTCATAAGAAACGTGCAATTTTGTGACAAGGAGCAGTGTAGAATAAAGAACTAAGGAGTGGGAAGAAGTACAAACTGTTCACTCAAAAGCAATACCAACAACTGAGATTTAACCTCCATAAAAGGATGGTCCATCACTTAAAGGACGGAAAAGTCCTAAACAAAAACCCAGACCACAAAGGACGGTATGCTCTTATCGGCTAGAACTTCCGCTGGTGTCCTGTTGAGAACGGGATAAAGAGAAATGACATAATGAGGATGGAATAACAATAACCAGAAACAAAAATGTCATAAAATGGTAGAAGAATTTCATCTGAGGAACCTGTTTTTCTCCTCTACCATGAACTACAGGTTCCAAGCCCTGAATGGGAAAACAAAAGAGTACATGAATGCTGGAATATCAAAGAAACAACTTGAGTTTTATTGAATTAACCAACAAGGCTAGTTTACAATAAAGTATAAAAATCCAAAGCTATGTAGTTCCACAAGTCTAGATGATGATTTAGTTAAATATGAAAAGAAAACTAATAGTAATAATAATAATGAATTCTAATGACAACATTGGTTGTAGCTGCACCTCTAACTTGAATTTCGAGAATCAAGACTGATGAATAAAATGGAAATCATGCATGGCAATGGATCATTAAAAAAATTAGATTTTGAACCAAAATTGAAGTTCGATCATTCCACTGCACTTCAAATGTCCACATCCGGTGTTTGGTACATGATATTAGAGAACTCGAGCATTTACTGTGCTCTAAATCAGTATTTAAGAGTAAAAATTCAATGAAAGTATGAAAAATTGGGAGAGGAACAAGAACTTACTTCAATCTTAGACATTCCATCTCCTAAGAAAGCACAGGCTTCCTTGAAATGGGCAATGTAATATGTGTCGCACAACCCGCAACGACTACCAAAAGACAAGATATAGCAAAAAAGGAAAAAATAAAGATTCAAACTTTAAATGCAAAAATTCAAATTTATAAAAAGTAAAAGTGGGGTAATGAAAGGAAGTGAAAGAGCTTCAAAAATGAACTTGCAGTGATCTTTAGCCGGGTAAGTGCCACCAGGAGGCATGGGTCTGGAGCGTTGCCTCCAGTCCTCTCTCAGCTTCACTGACTTTGAGTTGGTTTTCCATATGTTCCACCACATAACACTACACAAACTTCGCTGTGAAACAAACACACAGATACACAAACAGAGGCGCACACAGAGAGTTTTGGGGGGTAGCTTTAGTGGAAGAGGAAGAGGAAGATGAAGATGAGGAAACAATGGAGAGTGAGAGAGGAAGGGAAGAGAGCTTGGCAATTAGAGAACACATTGCAGCTGAGAGAAACCCCAAGCCAACAATAATGCAACTGAAACAGAGTGAGAGTGACTACAATGTGCTGAGGCTGTGTTAGCCACCTATTTCTTTCTAACAGTCTGCCATGGTTCTTTACAAGATTTGGTCACCCGTGTGACCGGGTGCACCGGGTTCGAACTAAGGTCTAAAATATCGGTGGTCCAAAAACACACATATATCGATGGAAATATCGAGAAAATATCGATATCGATAAAAATTGAATAAAAATCATAGAAAATATGAGAAAAACTTGGAAATTTTTATTGAAACTTTAGAGGATGTTTACTTAGTCAATTGTCTATTATTTTATCACAAAAAATTGGAAGGAAATGCATGGCATGGTGGGCTTGAGTGATTTAAGTTGATTATACAGCGACCTGACAAACATTGTGACTTTAGAAAATATGTAGTAATTAGTGAAAAAAAAATTAAACACACCATAATTTTTTAGTTATAATAATTTACTTGAATATATTACACTTGATACATATGATAAAATATATGAGCTTAACCAAAAAAACAAAGATAAAATGTATGAGTAACTTAGTACCACATAGAAAGAATTCCTATTAAAATTCAAACTTAGTATCACATATAATGAACAATATTAAAACTCGAAGTGAATAATAATAAAACTCCATAATATATAACAACAACAAAATACTACTCCATTATAAAATAATAAATAACATTAAATATATGCTTAAATTTATTCTTAGGGAATTTTTTTAATATGGAAATTTATCTTAGATAATATTAGCTTGCAGACATTTTTAAAGACCTTATAAATATTACAAGTTGAAGGTGTAAACTACAATTTGCATTTAACTAAGCCTGAAATCAAGCAACATAGATGTACTGGCATGA